GCTTGATTAATCATAATTATAGAATTATCCTGAAACGAGCCACGCGTACGTATACTCATTTTGTTAGGGGCGTCAAAAATCATGTCACGCGTACGTGTACACAATTAATAACATGTTATTTATATTAAGATTGTTTCGCCCAAAGTTTCACAAACACATACATTGGTTTTAATTTTGGAAATCATAATCATGTCACGCGAACGTGTACATAATCACGATAATTAATTTATTATCGTGCGCCTAAAGCATACTAACGACTTTTATGAGTTATTTTTCTAAACTAGTTTGAGATTATTGTGAGGCCATGAATTATGGAAATAACTTTTGTGGATGAAGTATATAGTTTATTAAACTAAAGGTTTGTTTCAACTCAACACCTTACGGCCAAATTATTTAAAATAGATATCAACTTAACTCATGAATCGGTCGCACATAAAGAGCAAACGAGACGAACCCAATAATTAAAATAACAACTCCAAAGACATATGACCAGATAAAAAAAAAGATCCTAACAAAATAGATTCTATACAAAAGACTAAATAGCTAATGCATTTGATTCAACAAAGAAAACCAACATGTTGCAACTTAAGAAATTAATATTATTAAATTGTTCACCAAATAAAGTACACCCACCCTTTATTAATTCAAAATCAGTCTGCTTTTAATTCCAAAAAAAACTTGTTCTATCCTATTTAATTAATGAATTCAATAGTAATAAATACTAGTTCACAAATCTGAACAATACCAATATTGATCTAAGCAGTACTATATCGTTGAAAATTGCACAAAAGCACCAAAATTGCACAAAAACACTAATTCAACATTAATTAGATTAAAGCAAGAAATGAACCTCAAACTTTGAATCTGAAACTTTAACGGTTTTATAGCTCCGCAATCCGAATAGTGAACTAAACATGAACTAACCAATCGAACTCGGCGGACTCGGCTCGGACCTCAACTCGACTCAGAAACTCTAGCTATTTTCTGGTGGTGCTTTGGAGGTTAGAAGTTGGGTTTCAATGGCTACTTTGAAGTTGTTTTAATGGAAGTTCAAAGTCGAAACTGGCATAGCATGGAGCTACTAGTTCGCCAGTTTCCATGGCTGTTTTGGAGTTGCTTTTTCATGAGTTTGGGGGCTATTTTTCAGCTGATTTTCATCGCTTTTTTGGCTATTTTCGCAGCTGATTTTTACTGAAAAAGAGGCTATTTTTTCAGGTGCTTTTGGAGCCATTTTTGGGGTGATTTTCGGCTGTTTTCAGCTGGATTTTTGGAGGTCTTTTTGTTGGTTCAGTTGCTGGAATTTTTCATGCTTGTTCTTAGAGGAAGAAAAGGATTGAGCTGTCCTCCCCTTGAGGGGCTCCTTTGGTCCGTTTTTTATGAAGAAAAAAGGAGTTAGGGGTTGTGAGTGGAATAAAGAGTGGGAGGACAATCATGAGGGGCAAGCATGGGGACAAGAGAAAGTGGAGTGGGGACAAAGTGTGTGGGGCAAAGAGTGGGGACACACGTGGGAAGATGGGAGCGGGAAAAATTCAAGCACGGTCAAAAATTAGGTGCTCACAGCATGCCCCTCTTTGCTTGANATTCAAGGCCTTCCACCAACTCTCCATCTATATCGCTGCTACTGTCTACCAGAAGTCCGAACTCTGAATACGACCCCCTGAATTCTTGGTTTTTTTGAAACACAAAGCAGCAAATATGAGACAAAAGTACTACAATATTGAAGGTATGTCATTTTTCATATTTTAAATCTGTTTTATTTTTAGTTTTGAGAAATCAAATCTCAATCCCCCCCAAATTTGTCGATGGACTCAGGTCAAAGTATCCAAAGTTAGTTGACCGAATCCGGGACGTATCCCGCTCCCGCTCCCGTCCCGTGTCGAGACGGGTGCGACACCAAAAATGAAGAGTCTGCGCAACTTGGGAAATAACTCGAGCAAGACTTCAATCAAGACTACTCACCGGATTGATAGCACCGCCCAGGATATGATGCAAGTTACGAACTACTGAAACTAACTTATCAGGTCCACTAATGCAACCTGCAAGAACCTGCAACAAATGCAATAGCATAGCATCAGTCTGACGAATTTTAGTTGTGCATAGTAGTTTGAATTGCTATAAACATCATTTTGACGCCACCATACATCGTTGTGGCCACCAATATATTTTGTTGCAGAGTGCACAACGAGGTCAGCCCCTAGAGCAAGGGCCTTTTGGTTAAGAGGAGTTGCAAACGTCCCATCTATGCAAACCAATGCTCCATTTTCATGGCAAAGCTTTGATACCAGCTCAATGTCAACACATCTCAGAAATGGATTTGTTGGAGACTCGGTAAAGAAAAGAGTCACCTGTACCGGACAATGTTCCAGTCATTGGGGATATCTTCAGTTATTCCACAAATATAATTCAAAACAGTTAATGCAATAAGCAGCATACTGACTTTCTTCTGCTTTAGGACCGACTCTAGAGCTCCAATATCAGCTGGGTCAATGACTGTGGCCTGTACTCATAAAGGAAAAGAGACTATCACTACACAGCATAAAGGTGCGAACCATTTCAGACTTGGATATATAAATTATTCATTAGAAGAGAAAAAAAGTTATAGCCCAATGATTCAGTCAAGAGCTGTTTCCGGAGAGAAAACAACAACAACGAACACAGTGTAATCCCATAAATGGGGTCTGGGAGGGTAGTGTGGACGCAGACCTTACCCTACCTTATAAAATTTAGAGAGGTTATTTCCGATAGACCCTCGGCTCAAGGAACAGTGGAGATAAGGCAACAAGTAGCAAACAATAGTAACAACAATATATTAAGGTAACGGGCACGAATGACACAGTAAATTTCCGGAGAGACTTTCATGGAAATTTGAATTTATTTCTACCGTTTATTTTTATGAGTACAGCTAAGCCAACTTCTCAGTTTTGAATTCAATTTTCTTCTTGTGTCAAGAAATCTTGGCATACACTATGCTTCAAACTTCAAGCATCTTAAACATGTGGAATAGTTAAATACCGTGATTCCCATTTTAGGCAATATTGTCTCAATAAATATCCGGGTCTTTCTGTAGCAATCTGTTGTTGTAACAATATGTCCACCAGCAGGAACCAATGCCAACAACATTACAGTACTCGCACACATTCCAGATGCCATTAACAAGGTTGATTCAGCACCCTCCAGTGCACTGTTGCAGTAGAAATAATGCATTACCACTTAGCTATCAAACACAAAAGAAACGGAGAAGGGAAAGGAAAATCCTCTTAATTAACTCACCTTATCTTCTCCTCTGCAACAACAGTAGTGGGGTTTCCATAGCGACCATACTCAAAACTTGCATGTCTTTTCTCCTGCAAAAGTATCGTATATAGAAATCAAACCAAAAATTCAATTCAGCTAAACCCAAAAGCAGAGGCAGCTTTATGGGTTCAAGTTCGGGATTCTACCACCACACATCTGATTTATTGGCTTCGAAATCAATTGTTTGTACTTATTTAGTAAATTTTTCAACACTTGGGTCCGAGCCAAAACTACTGGGTTCAAGATGAACCCATATTTTACCCACTACATCAGCCCGTGCCCAAAAGATTATGTTCTTGGCATTCTCTATTAGCAAATACAACGATACACTAGTACAATATTACTTATCACCAAAAACAAATTATACACTACTATAATATTTCACATGAGCTAACTATTGACCAGAACATCACTTGCCTTCCCTAACTGATACGGCACACCTTTTCTGGTGTAAACTCTACACTGGACTTACCTAGTGAACCTATTTCATAGGTCATACACCACAAAGAAGTAAAGGCACTAGAGCAAATGCAAGAATAGCAAATACCTTGAAATCAATGAGCTCAGAAGTCTTCTTGAAGAAATAAGCAGACGTATTAACCACTGGAGTAGTTATTGCATCAGTAACAATACCACGTCCTAACCTCTCACCTGTGAAAAAACAAATCAGGTTATCAAAAAACAAAAAGAATCAACAAATCAATCAGCTACGCCTCAATCCCTATATCCCCTCTTTTCCAATCTTATAAGAGCCCGTTTGAGTTAGCTAATTAAAAGTAGCTGATAACGAATAGAGTTCAAAAAGCAGGCAGATTGTGGTTTGAATCCCTCTCTTTCCGTTGATGACTTGATTTTTTTAAATGTGGTTTCTTTCTTTCTTAAACCTCGTGTCTAGCCAAACTGCTTCAAACTGATAATAAGCATTTGTGTAAAAGAAACGCTGATAAGCACTACAGCAGTATCTAGTATATATAATCAGAAATATTCAGAGTAAATCCACAAAACCAAGGCATAACACAAAATAGAGACAAAATTAGACGCACGACTTTCTACAAAATACAAAACTAGAAGAGCATTAAAAGTATACCGGCATGTATAGCGATACTTCCATCAGAACTCAAAAACGAAGAATATTTTCCGCGTGTCAACTCCTCAATCTGTACATTTCGATCATCACAAGCCGGATTTTCATTTTCCACCACTACCGTCACCTCCTCCTCATCAACAGGAGCAACGGCAGCAGCGGCGGCGGCTGAGGCATCAACGGCCTTAGCCGCCGCCGGAGTGAAGTCAGGAGAACCGCGGTTGTTC